ATGTTAAAATGAAGGTTTAGATTTTAGATAGTGTAGAAAGTAGTTCACAATGAAATATCTTCAAAATGGGAGAAATTTATAACATTTCGTTAATAATATTCTGAGCCATTTTCCTGTACACTTCCAATTCTATAAACAGCCAGAATTAGCTAAGCTGTTAATTTTTTTGCCAAAGCAACGAATTACGAAACAACGTAAACGGCGAATTTCAATTATGTTTATTCATCATAATAGCGGCTAAAACGGCGTGTCTGAGGCAAAGCCATGAACCATGAAAAATATTAGTAAACCGTCAAAAAATGTGTTTTAAGCCATTGCCCCATTCTAACTGTTTACTGTCGTTTATGCCTCTGATTGTCCAGAATATATATTCAGCTGCTTAAATAGGCGTTAAATTTAGCAATAAATCACAGATAACAATAAATACAGTGCATACATCCATATTTTTAAAAAAATTATGCACGTCTGCATTCAAAATAAGTCCCAACCAAACATGAAAAATACAAAAAAATCACTCACCTGACTAATATTAGATGACATTTTGATGTGCGGTTTTTCCCTTTTGATATGTGGAAGGTAAAAGTCGTGGCTATTTGGGTTCTCCCTTGGTTCTCCGGTGGTTGCAACAAAATCAGGAGTGGTTGTGTCAAAAATTGTGCTAGCGGTACTAAAATCTGATAGCGTGCTAGTGAATGGGGTAGTGCTGGTGGCCGTAGAAGTGTAGGTTTTTGTAATAATGGAAGATTCAGTTTGGGTAGATGTAAATGTTGTGGTGGTACTTGGGGTTGCAGGAGAGCTAGGCTGAGTTTTGTTGGTGAAAAAAATGGTTGTGTAGGGGGTGGTGACTTTTGTTGGCGAGCTCGTATTTCTGACGACTGAAGTGATTGGAACGGGGGTCGAAGTCACAATGCGTTCAACGGAATTTTTTCCTTGCCTCAGGAGCTTTGTTAAAAAATTTTGGGAATAGTCCCAGAAATTCGACTGGGACTCAACCTGTACCGCGCACAGCAAACCAACGAAAACTAAAACACGCATTTTAAAAAAAATATTGTTCAAAGTCAGAATAAAATTCGCGGCCTCGTATTTTGTCAAGTTTAAGTGTAATTCTTCGCGTGCGTCCTTGACTACTGAAGCCGGTGGTACTATCGAAGGCTGAAGAAGGTCTGTGTCGTAGAAAAGGCTTTATGCACTATGTAAGCTAAGTCCGCGACCGGCAGCCGAAGAGCTTAGCTAACCCACTTCCTATGAAATGGTACCGTACTCGGAACCATCAATCGCGCGCATCCGGTAATATGGTTTGCCAAATTTTACTTAAGACTATTCCCAATTTGTGTATCTATTTTGTCAATAAAAAATGTTTTTTTTGTCTCCGAAACTTAAAACTTACCAGACTATTTTAACTGATTTCTTTTGAACAACAATTTGGACATTAAATAATATTTTTAATATAATGTACAACAATAACTGACTGTGAATGATAAATGTTAGACGTGTTCAAACGGCTTGGGAGTGCATTGCTTTCTTAATAAAGGCTTCTATTATGTTTTCAAGTGAACATGCTGGAAGATATATTATATTTGTGAGCGCATGTGAAATCCATATTGGATTTTGGGTCAACCGAATCATCACTCATTCGATAAAAGTTCCAAGACGATTTAGTACCTGTCAAATTAAATAACAATCAAATATTTTACAATAAATATACTAAATTAGGAAGTACGTGATTAGCATGTCATGAATTTGCTACTTGTGTTTAAACGTTTTTAAACATATTTATTAGCAATGATTAGCGATAATGATTTAATAAAGAGTTTCATTTTCGTGGCTGTTATGGAAAATTATATTTTTCTGACGTTTTGCAAGCACGAGCGGCTTGCATCCTCAAACCGGTTACGTTTGACAGCTTAGACAGAGGTGTTTTGTTCTAAAGCTGAGGGCAGTGTAACGAAAAACTTATCAGTTTCGGTAATTTAAAAACTACTAGTTCTCTGCTGGGAATAAAAGCTAATTGGATCAGTTTTTGCAAATTTCCATTTTAGCTATGTGATCGGAAATCAATTCCGGTAAATTAAATATAAATAATTTATAATTTTAAAATGACAACTTTTCTAATTCTAATGTTTTAACATAATTTTAATTAATTGAATGCAATGTTTTTTTGTCCTTGTTCCTGATTCTTTGCTCCACTTCTAAAAAATGTAGTTTTTTTAACGCAGTAACTTTTCAAGTGTCTAGATCCAATTCTTTCAATATCTGGGTTAAAAATAATGCTAATGATCTACTTTAATTAACGATTTTTTTACTAAGCTCATAGAGTATTGCGTAACACGATTTTATCGTATTTGCACCTAATTAACTCTTGAAATAGACTTTTACGAACTAATTTTTTAAAGAACTAGAGAATTTTACATAAATGGTCCAATTATTAGATTCTTACTTTTGTCACATTAGTGAAAAGCTCTCGAAATTTTATCAGGATTTTTCATGGAATGATGTTGAACTTGTAAAGGTGAGATGACCTTTGAAGTGAAATACTCAGTTTAAAATGAATATATAGAGGAAAAGCAATGGCAATTACTGAAACAGTAATTTGTAAATTTCTGGATGCTTCAGTTGGGTTGACATGAGAAGCCATGATGGCAGTGTCATCAGCAAAAGTGACGACAATTATTGACGGACTAATGAATCTTTCCCACCAGGCTCCCTGGTATCTGGCATCGAAATCTGATACTGGTGTGGATTTAAGAAACCGCCATAAAACCCGTCTTGCAACATGGATTCTGAGAGGTATTCTGAGGCCGGACAAGTTGGAAATTGTTGGGAGATCATTGTGCTCTGCTAGAATTGCTTTTGCAGGACTTCCCGAAAGCACTACAATGGGAGTGGACATTTTACGTTTTATGAGGGAAGCTTTATATGATGATATTCGGGTAACGTTGGTTTCTGGGCAGCCAACAAATTTTCGAACCCTATACGGGGGTATAATACGATCAATGATCGAATACTAACACTTCGATTGAATGCTAAGCATATAATAGTTCATTTAGAACAGGTCTATGCCTCTACATGTACCGCCTCAGATGATGATGTAGAAACATTCTTTGGGAATCTGGAGAATGTTTTGCGAGCCATTCCGAATAGAGAGATAACTATTTTGATGGGCGATTTTAACTCTAAAGTTGGGAACACGGAACTGGATGATCATATAAGGCAACAGTGGGCAGATTTGGGATCGGTGAACATAATTCTAGAAGGAAACACAATTCAGTTTTGTTTAGAGAATGGATTTTCCATAAGTAACACCATGTTTTTGCAACACCCTCGTCTTCTTTATACTTGGATATCACCAGATAGTAAATATCGGAACAAGATTAATTATATTATGTCCAAAAATTGTTGGAGTTCATCCATAAGGTTGTGTGAGACCTTAGCAGGCTCAGATTGCGGCTCCAACCACCAACTCTTTATGTGCACATTTCAACAATCTTTTAAAAAGTCAGGGAAATCACTCAATCTCAAAGTAGACGAAACTCTCTTCCAAAACAATCATTGATGCCCCCAAACCCTTCCTGTGATAGAACAACGAAGATCATTGTAAGAAATCTTTGAATCTACATGTGAAAGACAAAATAACTAATTATAATGATATAATATGAAGGTCAAAAATAATTACATCCAATGTAGAGAATTAAGCTCATGTCAACTCTAATACTACTAGCGACTTGAGTCAGAAAATCAAACTTCTTACCCGAAAATTTAAACAAAAAAACTGGACAGTTAGAGACAACGAGGGAAACTTGGCTGCTGATCAGGGGATAATGACTATTAAGAATAGTGATAACGTCACCCAATTTGACCGGATGTTCTGCTCTCGGAGGTTCAAGCTGCCATAAACAAGCTAAAATTTAATAAGTCTCGTGGAACTGGTTTATGGGACGGGAAGGCTTGAGAAGAATACATCCGCTGTGTCGGGGAATATGAAAGTCTGACTGGATAACATCCAGTCTTTGTTCCACCTCATAAAAAATATGACACCAATAACTGATATCTCATACCAGAAAAGTGTTTGTATATATTCTTCGCTCCTCTTTGGAACACTATCTTCTATGGCAGTTATCCCCTGAACAAGCTGGATTCACAATTGGAAGAGGCACTAGTGAGCAAATTCTGAGTATTAGAGAAATCAATGAGAAGTCGATAGAGTTCTGCTCCCACGTATTTCTGTTTTGTCGATTATAGCAAAGCTAGTGATAATGTAAAATGGAAAAAGCTCTGGTCTATTCTGTTGTCAATGAGTGTCCCAGACCATCTAGTGTATCATACAACAATTATATGATAGCAATACTGCACGAGTTAAGGTTGATAAATGCTTGTCTGAGTGTGTTCTCTCCCCGCTTCTTTTACCGGGTGTCATTTTGAAAACTTCCCACCCTTAATATCTTTTTCCAGTTGAAAATATGAAAAATCGGAGATCCGTCAATTTTATTTGTAGAGAGGCACTTTGAATTAATATTTTTAGCCTCCTTGTTTCGACCACCTAGGACGGCTAGTTGTCACCCTTAGAATCTTAAATGGAAAGGGGGGGTCAAGTGGCACATTGTTTTAAAGGGCGTTCAATTATCTTTACACTAGTTACTACTTTGTTGCTTTTTGTTCAGAGGTTTTCGAATAATCGCGTTTCAAAGTTGTAGAAACAATTAAATTTGCGTGCATTCAGATGTTAGGTTTCAGATTAGTGTTGACACAAAAAACAATTGTATTGGGTCTCCTTGTAATACTGTTAAAATCGTTGAATCTCCTAATAATATTAATTTGGATGGTTGAATTTAGGCATTCCTTAATTCATTTTTCATACTCCCTCGTATTGATAGATGCCTCGCAAACTGATCTGGTGTTGATAATGAAACATGTTAAATATTCGATCAATATATGCTCGCCCAGTTAACATTTAAACAAACCTCAAAGCAAAATGTTCATGAGTCCCATCATGAAGTCTCAGCACGCACCCCTATTAACACGCATCCTACTCGTAAACCACTTAATTACAAGAGGAAAGATTTATGCGTGCTGATGAATCATAACGTTTTTGTTGTCTAACTTTCAACAAGCTCGAAGCTTCATCATATCCATTCAACATATGGCTTAAAGTATACGATAATTTGAGATAAAACTATTTACTGCCAGTTGTAGAACGTAAATACCAATATAATCATTTGCAAATTATGGTTTTGCATGAAAAACCGTAGAGTGGATTTCTAGACCAAGTTGAAGAAGGAGAACATCGGCAACTTAAATTTTAATCGTGTATTTAACATTTAATAAAATTGAAGTAAAAGTGTTATCTCAATCGTTAGAAAAAAGTAATCTATGTATAACCATTGGAAAGTACAATTTATCGTCTCTGGGCAAAGTAAATTCGCTTCAATGCTATTTGCAAATACATACTTGCAACATGGTAAAAGTATGATTTGGCTCGCTTGGTCGATCTGAATTTACATCTTTCATCGTTCTGAATATTAAAGTATAATTCATAAAATTTATAAAATAGTTCAGTACCTATAAGTAATAAGGAAACATATAAACTGGGTCAAATTAAATTGGATGCTAACTGTCGTTTTCCTAGAAGGATAGATGGACAATTCTGGGAATTTTTTTCTTCAAAAACTGTCCATCCAGTTAAGCTAATTAATTAAAATAAGTAAGTACATAGTTGGCACTTATAAACAGAGTTGAACAAAACAATTGTTTTTGGTTATGTTATTCATTGGCCTTATATTGCCATTATCTAGAAGCATTAACTTTGCATGTAGATATCATAAATAAATATCCATAATCTATTGGATGTAGACTACCTTTTCCCAAGTTGCCACAATTAATTTGATCCAATATTTTATGCAAGTTTTCACCAAAAACAAAGACCAATCATGTCAAAGGAGAGTTTCTTAATATGCACTATTTGTATTGATTTGCGATTCTCTACGAATGAATGAATGATCAACGGAAGAATAACCTGGTGAAATGTCAATTCAAACTCACTAATTCACCTGGAAGTACAAATTTTCAAAACGGAATTAACCTCCATTAGATTTCTCTGAAGATTCATGGACAACATTTCATTAACGCATTTATTGAGAGAACTGTACTATTGAAATGTTTTTGTTTGCTACTCATCTGCTAGATAATTGATAATAACATCTGTTTTACT